TCGTCGCACGATACTCATAGTAATGATAATAATAATTAGAAGAATAACAAAACAAGCTCGTACTTGAGAGTGTCCAAAATTACGACTGTATCACCGATACCGTGCTTGAGTAGACGTATCGCGCGAACTCGACCGGCACACGCGAGAGACGTGCAGGAGGGGAGAGAAAGAGAGAGAAAAATCATCTTACAACTAAACATTGTGAGACGACGACGACGACGATGAAGAGCCTCTTCTTTCGCGTAATTGAGCTTACATGTATTTCGAGACACAGATACACGCACGAGGGCGTACACGAGCTTCTTTGCGCCTATAATGTGCAAGAAAGAGAGAGGCAGATGTTTTATTTCCCTTTTTTTGTTTTTCAGTCCAGATGATGAGCCGCACCGTGTCCGAAAGGAGCCAACGATATGATTTTTTTTCGCTCACATTTCTTTTTTAAATCTCGCTTAATTGCCGAGAGAGAGACAAACGGAAGGAATGGATTAATATTTGATGTCGCGTCTCGATAAACACACGGACCTTTCGGACACACACACACGTGAGCGGGGGTCGGGTGCGAATGTCTTTGACTTTTTAAAAAGCTATTACGCGCGTATGTGTGTGTATGTATATGAATCCTGCCAAAGCTTGTGTAATGTTCGAGCACAAGTACATTTGTACGAAAAATACGCGAGAGAGAAAAGGTCTCTCAGCTGCGCACATACACATTGCACCGCGCGCGTCTCGTACCTTTTATAATATAGGCGCAGATACGAATCTGCCTATATCCATGCTTTCTCTCTCTCTCTATTTCTCTCTCAAGTCTCATAATAATAAGCGCGAGTCGCTGCCTCAAGAATGAAAAAGACACAGAGAGAGAGAGAGATGGAATATATATCGAAAAGTTGATCGTTATCTCTCACTCGCGAATGCGTTTTGTTGCTGCTGCTGCTGTTGTGTACTTCCGCGATTGCTTCTCTCTCTTCAATTGCGTTCCTACAGTGAGGCGAAATCGCGTCAAAGAGCTTTTATATTTATTACGCGCGCGCGCGTGTGTGTGTATAGTAGCTGCTGCATACACGAAGCGATTCAATTATTCATTCGCGTGTGTATATGGCGCGTACTCGTCACGCAAAAGGAAGAAGAAGAAGCTTTCGAAAAGTTTGACCGAATTAGACAAACTTTTTTTTTGTCCCTTCTATCGCAGCTCTCGGAACGTCCTTTACACGTGCGCGCAAAAAAAACCCACACGCCGAGAGACAATCGCGTTTAGCTTTTAGCCGAGGCCAGCAGCAGCAGCACCGCGAGCTGTTTGACAATGTGGCGGTGGTGGCTGGCTGGCTGGCCAGTTTGTGCTGCGAGTGTTGAATCAGTTGCCCGCATATTATATTATGCGCGTGTATGTGGCCTATGTATAAAAAATGCGTTACGTGTCGCTCTTCTTTGCGACGACGACGACTACGACAAAAAAGTAAAAAAAAAAAAAAGAGAACGAAAGACAACAGGTAAAGTGTGTGTATGTGTATATATCTCTCTCTACGCTGCACGTAATATAATGTGAACTGTATAATAACGGACGAGCCGCGAGACTCGTAAAGCGCCTCTCTTCTCTCTCTCTCTCTCTGCTTTCGGAGCGCAGTACATACAGCTCGCGACGACGACGACGAGATAACTATATTTGCCTTTTATTTATTCGTCGCGCCGAGTGTGTGGCCTTTTTTCTTCTTCTTCTTCTTCATTATTTCCGACGTATCATTGCGCGCGCGCTTACGTACGATACGAGATCCTCGGCAAGCTCGGAGAGGTGTTACATTACGTATTTTATAAAAAAAAAAAAATATGTATGCGTGTTTGTGTACACACGCCTAATTACCGGGTGACCGAATGACAAAACGTTATACATATCGAAAAAAAATGATGAAAAGACAGAAAAAAAAACTCGCATGCTCCATTTCGAAATTAATTTACGATCAAACAGCGCGACGCGCCGCCGAGCGGCTTATCTGATAAAGCGAGCGCGTCCGTGTGTATGCCGTATTATAATGTTGTGTATTATGTAGCGCCCGAGCGCGCGGACGATCGTTTATAATTGTAACATTTAATAAAGCAGCGGCGGCGCTCGCGACTGATTTGTAAAAGAGGTGGTGTTTCGAAAAATTCTGCAAGCGGCGATTTTTCACTTGGAATAATTTCGACCTTGATTATGCTCGCGGGCTTCTGCTAATTAACGACACGATAAATATACATACGATGTTTAAGGAATAAAACGGCACTTAAGCGATGTATCAATATACAATCATCGGAGCTCGGAAGCTCGTGATAATAAGTATTACATGCAGCGCAGTTAATAACGAATCAACGGGTGAATCGGCGTTATATAGTAATATTTGAAAGTGGATCTCACTAGTGGTAATAGACGCGCGGGCAGGCACCTGTTAGATCCGGCTCGGTCTCAAATACACACACACACACACACATGTTTACGTACTGGTCAAAAATTAAGCTAATGAAATATATGTGTGTACAGTAGCCCCATTCATCAACGTCACGTAAATAGTATATAGGCGCGTGGCGGTCGAGATCTTAATTGACCCTCATTAGTTTAAATGTGTGTGTGTGCGGTCAAGATCACGGTCGAGACCCGTCGACACCTTCGTCGGTATAAATCGTCAAATGGATCGCCAGCAGCGGCTTTGATATATACATACAGATTTTAAAAGAGATAGTTCTCAAGAAAGAAAAAAAAATAAAGATTAAATCTTTCGAATCTCTCACTGATTGTGTTGTTTGATCTGGCCTAGCTCTTTTAAGTCGGTCATTTTCCAAAACGATTCTAAACGATCGGGATTATCAATAATCAATATTGGGCTATGTATATATTTTCCTTTGATTAGTTCCTTCCTTATTACAAGAGCTCGTCTCGACTTTGTCTTTTTATATATAATGTGGGAAAAGACACGAGGCCGTGTCCGAAATTTTTTCTTTCCTTCGAAGCTGGCCCTAGATACAGACGCGCATACATATCATGTGGATAAAAAAAGCTAATATATCTTTCGAGAGCTCGTAGTTGTAGTAGTACGACGACGTCGAGTGGAGTGTAGCTTAGGACCGGATGGACCATCAGCCAAGGCGGCCGGCGTGTCGCCCAAGACTACTACCACTACTCGTCGCCGTCTCCTTCTCATTACACACACAAGAGATACTTATATATACACAGTACATGATACGGCGTATATAAGGCATATAAAGAACCGAAGAAGAGGCGAAAAGATAAAAATAGTTCGCGCGGGCTCTCGATGTGTCGTCGTCTTCGTCGTCACGGCAGGACAGCAGCGGCATGAGCCATGAGCCAGCGGACGTGTATATAGCTAGATATATTATATATATCCTAAAAAACAGTTGCAGCGATGTCGAGCAGCTGTTTTTTCAATTTTTAAACGCGCTACGCTGCTGCAGCAGCAGTTGTCGCCATGCCAAACGCACGATGATGATGCGATGCATTTTTACCAGATACAAAAAAAAACTGTATTGCGTCCCTCCACTCCTCCTACTTCTTTTTTTTCCACGCGCGGCGAACGTATCGGCACGTGCGCGCTTTTATATACTCTTTGGAAAATATATCTCTCTCCAACGCTCACACACACACAGATAGACATCGGCGAAGGCTCAGCAGCAGCTCTTCGTCCGCGATTGCATGTGCGGTGCAGCAGTAAGTAACACGCGGACGCTCATGCGCGCCTCCCCTACTACCATCCACCAAACTGCAATGATGCACGAGTCGAGGAGTCGCGATCGCGCGCGACGGCCGTCAGGGGTACAACACACGCAACAACACACACAAAAAGGAAAATTTCACCGACGTCGACGTCGGGGTATTATTACATGCACATTGCAGCAGCAGTAGCAGCAGCAGCACTTGTGTATATATATGCAGGCACACACACACATACATTCTCGGCTTTTACAACCCCTGAGCTGCTTCGGAGCTTTGCCACCACCGCCACCACCACCACCACCAGCCAGCCACCACCAGCCTCGTGCGCGTGGGGTACGTTTCTCCGAAACCCTATATAGAGCTACATAAGTCCGTCTCTCTCTCTTCTTCTCTACTCTGCCTTGGCCGATGTGCGCGCGCGCCAGAGAGCTGCTGCTGGCTCCAATGTTTTGCCATATATAACGTAGCCACGTTCTCCTATCTCACGAATATATATACGTGTGTGCGCGTGTATACATGTATACATGCACGCGAAGAGTCCCTCTCCTTTTGCGCTCCACACATTTACACACACTTGCACACTAGAACGGAGCAAGAGAGCAGTTCAGCAGCAGTGACCCTATATACATCGCCAACAGCAGTGGCAGCGCCAGCGAGCGAAAGAGAGAGAGAGAGAGGATGAGAAAGTCCCCAACACGCGCGCCGCTCGCTCACACACACACACACGGACGGCGAGGCACCAACACAGACAAGCGCGCGCGGGGCACGAGAAGCGGTGTGTGCCAAAGGCGCTAGTGCGCTGCCGGGTTAGTGCGGCGCACGACCACAGTCCACTCACGGATACGATCCGTGCTGGACGTTTTCTCCACAAACGCTCGACGCTGTGCTGCGCGCCTACGATCAGTAGTACTACTGCTAGTACCGTGCGAATTTTAATATACACACAGACACGGGGTCCGCCGCCGCACTAGTTTTATTATTACAACCGTATGAATATACACACTGTTCACGGCGGACTGCGGACGAATTTTAACGAAGGAACGAGAAAATTTTTTAACGCAAAAATTGAATATATAAATAAAGTGACAACGAAGAGTGTGCCCGTGAATATCCTCGTACCAAGTCGCAGGATATAGTTGTTGACTCTCTACGGAGTGTGTATGTGATGTTTTATCGTAACGACAGCGACGAAAAGTGATGATAAATAAAAAAAGGTCATCGCAAGCTCGCGTGTGACGGATTTTGCAGACGAAAGAAATAAAAAAAAAAAACAAGTGGTGTTGTTATACAGTTCGTTTCTTTTTTACGTTGGTTCGTTCTTGTTTTTTTTTTCTTCCTTCTTTTTTTTTATTAACTCGAAAACGATGTTTAAATACCGTGTGATCGTGAAGCTGCGTCGACGCAACAAAGTCGAGTAGTGAACACACACGCACGCACACGCACGCACAGGAGGCAGAGAGAAGAAGAGAGGCACCTGTGGGACATTTCCAGCTGCATATGCGTGATATAATAAATTAATGAATTGCGAGGCGATAAGAGCGACGAGCCGACGACGCAGAAGAAGAAGAAGAAAATTCATCAGCGACGAGTGACGAATTTTTTTGTGATCGTTGTTTTGAAAAATTAAATAATCACATGTGAGGAGGAGGGAATAAAAATACGAGTGCGGAGAGAGGAAGCAAAGATCACGCAGTTATCCGAAAAGTGCGAGAGACAGCTTTTTTGGCTTCGATCTTTTGTTTTTTTTCATACTTGCTTTATATTTTATAATTTTCTCTCCTCTGTGTTCGAGGATCCGTCCTGTCAGTTCGAAGAAACGGTGCTACTTACTACTTTGTGTTATATGGTGAATAAAAATAAAGAGAGAATAGCACGAGCGGAGAAGTGAACTTCCGAAAACTGTAGTACATACGAGAGAGGATCGTCGACAGAGAGGGAGAGAGCAAAAAAGCTCCTCTCCAGAGAAACACAGTTAAAAAAAAATAAGTGCGCGCGAACTTCGATACAAATAATCCAAGATGAGGATCAAAATGCCAGCAGTGAGGATCGCTCAAGGTAAGCACGAAACAAACAAAAAAAAACAAGATAAACATTCGCGTCGGCATATAGAGTGGCGCGCGAAAAACCTCGTGGCAGAAGCATCGTGCTTTTCTCTACCCCCATGACGACGATGATATCGCGCGCGAGCTTCGTTGGTGGTGGTGAGGGGGTAAACGTTCTCCGTCTCCGTCTACGTCGGTGTGATACACGGTACGGATATATCCATACTTTCTTGGGCATTTTTAATTAGCCTTCCCCGCGAGACTCTCCGCAAGCTCCTCGCTTTATACTTTCGCCGCTACCCCTCCGACGCCTCTCTTTCTTTTCTTCACGCTCTTTTTCGCTTAATATACATAGATATATATAATACGCGTCGTCGTCTTCTTCTTCTTCTTCTTCTGCTTCTTCTGATAATATGAAAAGTACATCGCGACAGCAGCAGCAGCAGCAGAAGCGGGTGGCAGCGCGGCATTGGAGCGACGACGACGAGCGAGAGAGAGAAGGAACGGTGGGAGAGGGGTAGTAGGAAGGCATTGTCATGCGCGCGAGTTTTTCACCCAGTATTTTCCATCCTCTCTCTCTCTCTCCTTTTAAGAGCTTTAAAGCTCGCAAGCTCTCTCTTTCTTTCCACCCACCCGCGACTTTTCTTAATTACGAGCTGCTGCTGCTGCTGCTGCTACAAGGGGGGTGATATTCTTCGTCTTATATTCTTTCTAACTAGTCGGCGAGATGACGCCGAGGTGAAAAGTCTCTCTCTTTCTCTCCCTCGTATTTTTTCTTCGGATTTCGATGCCTTGGCTGCAGTTGACTTTTCAACGTTCCGTCAACCTCGATCGCACTCGTTATTATGTAATGTACGAAGACGCGTGACTCGTGTGTATGTGTGTACCGAGTGTGACAGTGTCTGAAGCTCTTCGCGAGATTCGCTGCGCATAATCCACCAGTGATAATTAGCCAAATCCTTTTGGCAAAGTGTGATATACGCGGCCACCTCGCGAGTCGTAAATTATACTCACGGACAGCCTTGACTGCTAAACCGATGTCTCGTTACTGCTGCTGCTGCTACTGCGTTTAGTTTTTAACAGTGCGTTAAGAGAAAAAAAGCTCCCACGATTCGCGCTCGAATCAGCTCTGCTCTCTTTGCGCGTTTGCAACGACGATAAAAAAAAAGCAGTAGAAGAAGAAGAAGCAGTCGCTCTCTTTCTCTCTCTCAAGATCGCTAATTGCGCCGCGCGGCTTTTCTTGAAGAGTCGTTTCACCGCTGCCGCCCCCGCGCGCGCATTAAAGTTGTAGCTATATACACGTCGTATACATGTGTAAGCGCGCGTGTGTGCATATTATAATATCGACACGTGCTTGACATATGCACGGAGCGCGACACACGTATCTCATAATAGTTGCAGTTGCGTCGAGCTAATTTCTTCTCCTTCTTCTTTTTTTTTCATTTTGATCTTTTGACGAGCACCGCCGTAGTCTCGTGATATATGTGTCACTTTACGCGCGTACATAGATTCAGTACGCACAGAGACAAAAAAAAAGAAGAAAGAAAGAATTATAAGCGAGGGCTCGAGTCGCGCGCGTGATGCGCTCGCAGAGATAGATCAAGTTTTCGTGTATTATTAAGTGAGTGAGTAAGTGTATGTAAGTAAGCGCTCGTCTCTCGTCTCATTTATGTGTGCTTTATAAAGGGGGTTGAGGTAATATAGCGAGGCGCTCTGTCGTGTGTCGAGCGCGTGCAGTTCAGGTATATTTTGCATACCGGAGAATCCACCGACGGACACGTATGTATATTCGACGATGAATACACGAAAGCGTCGCGGGGCAAAAAATCTGTGTACAAGTCCGTACGCGTGCGGAGTAACTCCAAAAATTATCAGAAAAAGCTCGCGCGTGTCGGCTAGAATTCGTAGAAGGAGCTTCCGTCGCAACGAATCGAATTGTTGGCAGTAGCAGCAGCAGCAGCAGCAACAGTGGTATAAAAAAAAAGAAGGACTAATTGAATCTCACGAGTGGAACGCGGAAACGATATACATAATGAAACGCGAAGACGCGCGCGCGCGATATCTCTCCCTCGCGGTGCGTGTGCTGCGGCTCACTGTGAGCCAAAGGAGATTCTTATCCCGTGTGTGTGTGTGTAGCAGCAACACAACAATATAACGAAGAAAGGCGGCGATTCTCGCGGAAAATCGGGGCCTCATCGCGCGCGCGATTCTTCTGCACCCACACGCGCACAAACACACAGCGACCGACGACAACGCTGTATACTCGCTGCGACGACTAATTGCATATATACGTAGTTCTCTCTCGCTCGCTCAAAGCACGGATGTACGTGCGATTTCACGCGCTCTAGGCTAGATATACATTTTATGCACCTACCTGTAACACGGCCAGAGATGAAGATTTCCATTGGTGTGTATGCTCGTGCGAGGAGGAGCAGGAGGATTATAATGTATATATAGTAGCGGCTGAGAATGCGTTTATTAAAATATGGCACGCACTTTTCGTGTTAATATTATGTTAATTGTGCGACTTGTCGAGTGCCATTATTATGTATTAGGCGTGTACTGCGAGGATCGGATATCGATGCTTTCGATCTTCGCATCGGATTGTAAGTATATGAGGTCCAAAAATACCGAACGTATCAACGAGTGTATCGAATTCACGTAAACATTGTTGAAAAAGCCCCACGTTGGGCGCCAACCAAATCTCGAATTATAAAAAAAACAAGGTATAAAAGCAAACGGTGGACGCGCGAATCGCCGATACACAGCCGCTCGCGCTCATAGCACGTAAAATAGTTGGTCGTCGGCGAATGAGGTGGCGCCACGAGGTGGTGTGTCGGGCCGCCCGCGCGTACATACACCGCGATAATGTATACATTATTATTATGTGTATACACAAGCCCGACGATGCGTTGACGCGCGCTACTGAATCTTCGCGCGTTAACTCGTTTATTTTTAATAAGGAATAAAAATGTATAATACGGGACATCTCTATAATTCATGTGTGGCAAAACTACTAACGTATTAAATTTTCCATTTCTTTTTTCTGCACTACTCTCGTTATCGAGTGGAAAACTACGCGCTCGTGGTCGATCTCCGCTATCTCTCTCTCTTCCACTCGATCCAAACGTATACGTATGCGTATAGAAATGTTAGAATTACGTGCACAGGTGCACACAGGTAGTGTATGCGGGTGTCTTTTCTCGCGGGCGCGATAAACGCGGCTATACACAATATTTAATACGAAACTGGCGCGAGGCACGACTTATTACGCACACACAGACTTCCATCTTGTTTGTACATTGTTTTTTTTTTTAACGCGTCCGCAATGATTTCTCTTTCTCTTTTCCTCTTTTTTTTTTTATTGCCCGTGCGTGCAACAATATTTGCAGTCGACCTTGCCTCGGAGCGCGGATTATGTTTACGCGCGCGCCGCAATTGCAATTTTTCGGATACATAATGATCGTGTACAAATGGAGATATTGGCCGAATTGACAAGGCTCTTCGTTTCTCCGTATTTGTTCTGGCGAACGTGAAAAATTTTTCTGCACGCGCAGACCTTGTTTTTTGACATTTGATGCCAGCTCGAGCGAGAGAGAAGCAAACTCGCGTTCGCTCGCTCGATAAGCTCGTCGGCGGGGCCTGGCTTCGATAATTGTAACGAGCGAAATAAAAAAAACTCATCGATGCAAATTACATGCACGTTGGCTACGTGTGCAAAGCCGAGGTGTTTGTGCTTACTTTTTCGTCATCGTCGCGATGATGATGATGATCGTCATTGCCGTTGATCTTTCACGCGTGCGTAAACTCGATCGGAGCAATCATCGACGATCAATATTGTACCCCCCGATTCGTTTAAAACAAAACACGAGCTGCTCTTTTTACGTAACGATCCGTGTCCCTCTCCTCGCTCTTTCTGTCTTTCCTAATGATACACACACACACACACACACACACATACGCATGTGTAAGATATTGTACATTATTTGTCTCCTTATCTCGCGCGCCGCGAGGAATCATAGCAGAGCTCGGGCTCTCCGCGCGCCATAAATCACGAGAGAGCAAATACAGCGCGCGCGACGAGAAGAGGCAGAGCTATATACGCCGAGTCATCTATCTGGGTATAGGCAATAAAATGACATTTACCGACTTAGATATGACGTCTGTCCCTCTCTCTCTCTTTATTTCTGCTTAACTGTGTGTGTGCGTACCATATCTGCATAATAATGCACAATAAAACGTTGTCCGAGAGGCAGAAAAAAAGAGAGACAAGCCGCAATCAAGCTCTGGAGAGGGAGAGATGACCTTCCGACGCAGCAGCAGCAGTATTGGGGCGAGCACAGGCTTTTATCGTCTTGTATCATTGAGACCAATCTCAGGCAATAGGCAGAGCAATTTGGCCCAGGCTGAAATACGACTGTCATCGAGTGTGTGTGGGAGAGAGAGAGAGAGAGAAATTACACGAGCTCTCGCAAGCTCCGAAACAACGAAACAAAAGGGGTGTTAAAAACTAGCGGCGGCCCCCCTCCTCGACCCTCTCTCGCTTATAATGGGCTCTTACCCGAAAAAGCCCCGAAATTGGACGTCTCAGATTGGCTCGCTCCTATACTACTTCTTTTTTTTTTTAGTTAGTGGCTGCACAAGAGCGCCGATAATGAACGGCCGCGCGTCTTGATAAACGATTATTGGCGCGATATAAAACCGCGACCAATTGATTAAAAAAGAAATTATAGCCCGAAGAGAAAGAGATAGAGGAAAAATTACTTTTTTTGTTTCTTTTTTTTGTCGGGTCTCTCTGGCGTGTGTCCGAAGTCAATTGGCTTGTATGTATACATTACGAGGGATATACATAATGGACAGCCACGCGCCGCAGCGCTTAAAAAGCACTCGTCTCTCTCTTCCTTGGGCCCGTAAAGGTGTTATATCCATACACATGCTCGACACGCGCTTTAATACACATATATTCAAAGCAGCGCGGCTCTTGTCTTGTTTATCGTTCTCTCTCTCTTCCTT